TGAAGTTCACATTGTCTGCAAACAGAATAATTACCCCTGCTTTTTTTCTGGGTTCTTTTCACAGAGTATTGTTTTCCATTCATCCTTTGACTTTCAGTTTATGAATTTCCTTTTGAATTAAACGTGTTTCTAGTATATAGCATATTGCTGAATTTTGTTTCTTGATCCACTCTGCCAGTCTGCTTCTTTTGATTGGTGAATTGAGGCCATTTACATTGATGGTTATAACTGATATGTGTTGGCTTACGTTTATCATTTTGTTTTCCTGCTGTTGGTTCCTCTTGTTTCCCGTTGTTTAACTGCTTGCTTTGCTTGCTATTTCCTTTCTATTGTTGTGCTTGAAGTTGTGGTCATTTTCATCTCTTTTTAGAATATCTTTCAGTACTCTTTGTAGGGTTGGTTTGGTAGTCATAAATTTCCTCAGTTGTTCTTTGTTGTGGAAGTATCTTATTTCTCCATGAATTTTGAAAGATAATTTTGGAGGGTACTCAACCTGGGTTGGAAGTTGTTTTCTTTCAGGACCTGAAATATGTCACTCCAAGTTCTTCTTGATTTGATGGTTTGTGCTGAAAAATCTGCTGTGATTCTGATGGGTTCCCTTTAGAGGTGATCTGTTTCTTTTCTCTAACAGCTTTTAATATTCTGCTCTTTTGCTGAATTTCTGGGATCTTGATTCTTATGTGTCTGGGTGTAAATTTATTTTGGTTATGGTTAATTGGAATTCTGTATGCCTCACTTAACTGTATGTCAGATTCGTTTTTCATGCTTGGGAAATTTTCTGCGACTATTTCTTTTTATAGTCTTTTTATGTCATTTGTATTGACTCTGTTTCATTGACATCTGTCAGTCTTCTATTTTTTCCATCATCTTGCAGCTGTTGAATTGTTATTTCCTGGTTTCTTGTTATTTTTTAGGTGATATTTCCTTTCACAATTGATAGCTGCAATAATGTCCTCAAGGTCTGAAAGTTTATCTTCAGCTTTGTTCAAGCAGTTTTTCCAGCATTCAATGGAAGTTTCAGTTTCCTGGATATCTGTTTGAAACTGTTTCATGCATTTTAATTCTTTCCTATATTGTTTATTCAATGTTTCCCTCATTTTTCTATGCTCCTCTTTTTAAAAAAAATCTATGTCTTCTTTAGATGTGAGCAATTGTCTCATTATTGCTGTCATTTCTTTTCTTTTACCTGAGAGGCTATTTCAGATCTGATTTCTTCTACAACTTTATGAGGTTGTTTCTTTACTTCAGTTGCTACCATTTTCAGAAATTTCAGGTGTGTGACTTCCATGTTCTTCTATGTCAATGTCTGCTGGACTTGTTTTGGATGAGCTGGTGGTCTGAGATTGTACTTTGTTTCTTCATTTTGTCATTTTTGAAACTTCCAAAGTTCATCAGGGCTCAGAGTTGCTCCTGCGATGGTGAGGGGGTGTGGGGTGAGGCTCACTGAAGCTCCAGAGTTCACCAGGGCTCAGTGTCACTCTGACTTTCCCAAACCTGTTTTCCTAAAGCAGGGCTCAATGTCCCTTCTACAATGGTGTGGGGGTGGGGCATGGCTCACTGAGGCTTTCCAAGGTATGTGGGGCTCAGCATCACTCCTGCAATGGTGGGAGGGTGGGACGGGGCTCACAGAGTTCCCTGAAGCTGTCCTGGGCTCAGGGTCACTCCCTTGATTGTGGTGGGGCAGGGTTCAGCTCACTGAAGCTCCCGAAGCTGTCCAGGGCTAAGCATTGCTCCTGCAATGGTCTACTGTTTTAGAATAAATCTGAAAATCATATCATGTGAGCCTTTCGGCATTGTTCTTCAATGTGTTGGCTATTCTAGGTCTTTTGTACTTCTGTATAAACCTTAGCATCAGCTTGTCAATATCTACAAAATAGCTTGCTTGGATTTTGACATGAATTTCATTAAATCTATGAATTGATCTCTGAAGTATTGCCATCTTTCTAGTACTGAGTTTTCCAATCCACAAACATGGAATGTATCCCCATTTATTTTCATCTTTTTTATTTCTTTCCCAGAACTTTGTGATTCTGAGTAATTAATTCTATTTAGAGTGTAATTATAGCACTTGCAATCTATTGCTGAAGATATGAAGAAAAAATAACCTTTGTATGTTTTTAGTGGGGAATGTAAGTTACCACAGCCATTAAAGAAAGAAAGCATGCAGGCTCCTTAAAAAACTATTGTAAGATCCAGTGACCCAAATTTAGTTATACAGTACATCCAAAGTAAATGTAATTGGTATGTCAAGCAGGCACCTGCACACCAGTGCCCATTGCAGCACTAATTATGATATTCAAATGAGGGAACTAACTTGTATCCATCAAGAGATGACTACAGAAAATGTAGATGTATGCACAGTGGGATACTGTTCAGCTTTCATGGAGAAGAAGACCCTGTCATTTGCAAGAATGTGGAAGGAATTGGAGGACATTATGTTAAGTGAAATAAACCAAGCACAGAAAGACACATGATCTCACTTCTATGTGGACTCTGAAAATGTCAAACTTGTGGAAACAGAGAGAATGGAAGCTGTGGAAAAGGGAGTGGGAGGAGGACTGGACCGATGACAGTCAAAGTGTGCAAAATTTCTCTTAATAAGAGGAAGTTCAAGAAATCTACTGTGCAACATGGTATGTATAGTTCATAGCAATGTATATTACCAGCAAAGGGTTAGGAGCAGTGTATGTTTGAACTACTGTCACTACAAAAAAGAGATTGGGCATGTAAAATAATGCATATGGAATTAGCCTGATTTAGCCATTACACAATGGAAATGTATTTCAGAACCTAATGCTGCATACCATAAATATATACAGTTTTTCAGTTTAAAAATAATTTAAAAATAAAAACTTTATGTATTAAGATAAAGATATATTAAAAACTGTGTTGGTTTGGGGGATATTTTTGCAAGGGCAACAATATAATATAGGACACATATTTTATATGATTATTTATAATAATCATGCAAACAACAATATACAAGAGAGTGCAGGAAATCTGTCCACACACCAAGACCAAGGAATCTAGCTGAGGGCCTGGATCCCATGGAAATGTCCTGCATGAGTCCAGCTGGAGACCTAGAGCTCATAACAATGCCTCCCACGAGTCCAACTGGAGGCCCAGAGCCCATAATGATATCTCATGCAGACCTGTTTCATGGATTGTGCTATGAAGGCCCAAGGGTCAGTGGTGGAATCTCGGAAGTCTGTGCCAGCAAGAGTTAGGATCTGTGCTAGCAGGCTGAGGGATCTGCACTGGAGCCAGGAAGCGATGCTCAGAAGGACAAGAGCTACCCTGAAAGGTACCACAGCCATCCTCATCAATAATGAGGTCCCGAGCTCCTCTGATAATCAAGATGGCCGAGTTCCCATCAGGGAAGCCAATGAAGTGAGCTTCTTGGGAGACTGGCAGTGCACCATCTTCCCCTGCAGAGCCAGGAAGCGATGCTCAAAGTGAGGATCAGAGCTCCCCCAAAGTGAACCAAAGCCATTCTCAGTGTCAACGAGGTCCCAAGCTCCTCGGAGGATAAAAACAGCCAAGTTCATCAAGAAAGCCAGCATGACGAGCTCTTCCAAAACAAGCAACAGCTCCTTACAGCTTCTACCAGCTCCTGACAGCCTCTCTTAGCTCCCAACAGTCTCTCAGCCCCCAACAGCCTTTCCTCTGCTCCCAACAGCCTTTTATGCTGCTGGCAGCAATCCTCAGGTGGTCCTCCCACTTGCAGCCCCACGCTTACTTAGTTGAGCTAGGGGTTACAAGTTAACCACCAGTTGTCAATCTACCACAGAAATTTTGTTATATTCGTAAATAAAATCTTTTTGTCTTTATGGGGCAATACAATCCTTGTAAACACAGGACTCTATGTACAAAAAGAAATGCTTTTCAATGTTTTTGTGCCAGAAGTGATACACACCCTGGTTTAGTAAGGTACAAAGCAGGAAAGAATCGGCTGCAATTTCTTGAAGAGTTTCATAGCAGGATGACACCTGAACTGAACATATGAACCAAAGAGAAAAGTAGGTAGAGAAATAAATTCATTAGTTTCAGAAGAGTGAAATTACCTAGCACATTTATATATTCTAAGAAAATTTATTTTATAGTTTTCCACATACAGTCCATAATATATTGTATTAAGTTTATAGCTAAGTATTTCATTTTTTGTGCTATTGTAAATAGTACTTCACAGTTTTAATTAAAAATTATTTTTAGATTCAAACTGTTCCCTGCTGATATATGGGAAAGCAATTGTCCTTGATACATTAACCTTACATTGCCTTGTTCTGCTAAACTTGCTTATTTGTTCTAGAGCTCTTTTCATGATGTCTTTGGGGTTCTATAAATAGATCTTCAGGTCCTGTGAGAATAGAGACAATTTTAATTCTTTCTTTAAAATCTGTACCCTCTTAGTCTCCCATGTTGGTCCACATCAACCAGGAGTTCCAAAGATGTAAAGTATCTTTGGAAAAGTAAGAGACATAAGAGATTATGTGAGCTTTAGGAGTTTTTGTAGATATATAGATTTAAGAAAATTTATATATGTATAATATGTAGATTTATGTAGATATTTGGATAGATTTGTAGATATATGGGTGTTTTATAGACTCTCAAGATGAGGAAGCTCTTTTCTAATCCCACTTTCCATAGAGGCTTCTTTCTTAAAATTTCAATTACCTATTTTATTTTTTGGCACTGAAGTGAAAGTTTTTTGATTTTTTATTTTAAACTTTATTTCATTTTCAATAAATGGAGTTCACTTTCATGTACAGGAGTACGTACATGTACACAGTGCATCTGGATGTTGCTTCTCCTTCCCGTCCACCTCCCTTCTTCCGTCTGTAGACCCCTTTCCACATTTTCATTAATACTATTACTATTACTTTTAGTTCATGTTAATGACACATAATGTTTACATTCATTGTGCGTATTTGGTACACGCACATAACACATTTTAATTTTTTTACTTCTTCCTCTCCCTACTCACCTTTGCTCTCCTCTTTGGTCTCTTGGGTCCCTTCCTATTTTCAAAAGATTTATCATCCTGTTCCCTTCTAACCATCTTTTATTTTGATCTTTATTTACACATTGCCTTCCTCAAATGAGTGAATGGTTGTCAGACTTTGCCAGAATTTTATTTGAATACAATGATATGATCATGTGATTTTTCTGCCTGGGCCTATTCTGGAGGTAGATTACCATGACTGATTTTTTAATATGTTAAAACTAGCCTTGCCTATGTATGCTTTGTCCTGGTGTAATTATTTCTACATAAGGTTATAGTTTACTTGTTATGAATTTGTTGACATCTTTACTATGTTGAGTCTTCCAATCCATGAACATGGTGTGTCTATTTAGGTTACTGATTTTTTTTAATCTGAATTTTGAAATTTTTATCTTACAGATCAGTACCTTTTACAATGTATATCTAAGAATTTAATTTTCCTTGAAGGATTTGTAAATAGTATTGTGCTTTTACTTTCCATATTTTCCTTGTTAGTGTATTGAAATGTGAATGATTTTTGCATATGATCTCAAATTGTGCAACTTTGCTGATACTTATAGTTTTAGGGGTTTGGGATGCAGTCATGTAATATGCAAATAATCAGGCAAAAACATTTTTGCCTGATTATTTTTCACTTTCTGGCCTGTTTAACTTGACTTCATTTTCTTGCTTTATTGCCCATAATTTTTATATAACATGTAAACATTGAAAATGCTTGCTTTCAGATATTAAGAAGCCCTTAACAATCTCAACCAAAGTGTTAGTCTCTCTCTTAGTAAAATGTGACTATTCAGACTACATTTTGAGTTAGGAGATGCTTTTCGTTCACAATCCTTGCTTGGGTTTCTTCTTGTCTCTGCTTGTATTGGGCAGTGTGTGTCTTCTTCCTGTTTTCCAGCACCTGCTGTGTAAAAGAAACCCCATGAATTCCCATGGCTCAGTCTATAGTCCCTTGAAACTTGTCTTGTAAAAACATTTTTGCCTGACTAGCTTCAACCACATCCATTTGATCCTTGGGTAAATGTTGCATACCACTGCCCTTCCAAACTCTAAATATTTAAACATTTTCTCTTATCATTTTGTTCCCACAGAAAGCTCCAGCTAACTTCTCATCTTCAGACATTCCTAGAAGAATAAGACTCAGGTATTCATATTCCCTTCTTTTATCTTGAGGAACATATATAAGGTTTTCTTTGAAAAAAACCTCATGGGTTTCAATTAAGTAGCAGCATGGAGCAAGTGCTGCTTTATATTATCAAGTAAACAAGCAGTGGGGAGCAACTTGGAAGTTTCTTCTATTTAAACTGTCATGATCCCTATGAGAGTTTCTCTAAGAGACCTTTTATCTGGGCAGAGATGGAGAGGAAAGAAGAAAAAATATTGCAGTTTTTTACATCTACAAATTCCTGTCAAATAAATGTGTCTTTTCTTAAGCAAACATCTTGACTTCATGTATCTAGGCAAGAACTGGATGGACCGATTTTGATCATTCTTAGCAAGCGCTTACATTATGTATCTAGCACTTTGTATGACAATGTATAGGAAGTCATCACCTATGGTGTCACATTTCAGGGCCTCTTTTGAATTTTGGAGACCTGAGAAAATTTCCATTGAGCATCCAACTTCACTGTTATTGATGTTGTAAGCTAAAGCCACACTATGGCAGAACACTTGATGCTTGTGAGGGAAGGATGCTGGAAAGATTGCCTGAGGAGGTGATGCTTCAGCTGAGCTGTAAAGGATGAGTAAGTAGTAACTTGCAAGGAGGGCAAGAGGAACAGTCTAGAAGGAGGGAACATGTGGCCAGGAGCATGAGACCAACAAGGAACGGTAACAAAGCCAGGGTGACTGGAGTTTAGAAAGCAAAAGTTTGTCAAGAAGGGTGAAGGATGTGAGATCTTATCCTGCTTGCAGAAGAACATTTTAGCTTTTCACCATTTTATGGGTGCTGGCAGCAGACACAGAGCTCCAGGGTCAGAGCTAAAAGGCATTAATACTCGCATGGTGCTGCCTGTTTGCATCCATCATCCCCCCTTGTTGCTCCCTAAATTCTGTAGAATTGATATGGAGGGGCCCAGGGGTAGCTGCACGTACAATGAGTTCATTGCCATTGAAGAATTCTGAGCTTAGGAGCCTAATCTTCTGAACTGAGAAGACGGTCTGCTGGACCTTTGCTCTGGAGGGAAACATCATCTTTATTACACTGGCACCAGGCAAACTTGCTCTCTTTTCCAGAGGAGCTCATGATCTCTAACTTCTGAGGTAGTTCTCTACATCCTTGAAAGGAGAAAGTGGAACAAAGGAGCAGTTATTGCCTCTTCTTCCAAGGAGTTGGGAATTCTTTTCCAACAGGATGCAGCAAATGAAACTAGAGAGGTAAGTATGGGTCAGATCATGCGAGTCTTATGGGCCATAACAAGGACTTCGCCTGGTCATGTTATGCACAACACAGCTAAGGGCTTCAGCTGTCAGAGTATAGTGAGCATTGGGTATATGGTCATTCTAACACCAGGCTTCCGGCAGATGGTGAATGCAGTGCACTTTGCTTCTGTGTTTTTCCACGTGAGATTCTTTCTGCCTGAAACACCCTTTTCCCCTTTTTCCATGAATCCCTGATGGCCTCCTATTTATCTTCTTAGTCACAGGTCAACCCTCCCCTTCCGCCACTTTGCTTGTCTAATTCCCTGATCGCTCCTACCTTCTATAACAGTTTGGATGACCTAGGTTTTACGCCTCTTACTGAATTTCACTATTTGTTCATTGCTTTTGAGGCTCAATGAACAAAATTCCATCGTTCAGACGATGTATACTAGCAATGAAATGTACCCTTTCTCTGCCACCTGAGAAAGGATCAACAACTTCTGGGCTTTAGTTTTCATCCAGTTTGTGAGAAGAGCTCTTAATTGTCATGCAGAGTGTCTTTTTGACAAGATTCCTAATCATTCTTCTCTGCTAAGAAGAAAGATTTTCAGGTGAGAGGAAGGGAAGAATTCATGGGGGAGCAAAGGAGGTAGAATCAGCATAGGGTTCAGTTTTTCAGGAGGTTAAATTAGATCCCCTCATACATACTTTTTTGTTTTTAATCTACCATTTGCATAGATCAAAGTTAAACAAAAACTGCAAACAAAACCCCACTTTCATTTGTTTATATAGACATTATTAGAAACACCAACATTTTGTATTTAGTAGCAGAAGTATTTTATTTTGCTGCATTTCTTCATTGCCTCTTACTACTGCTTTCTTCTGAGGGGTGTCTCGCCATTTAGTTGGCTAGACATAAATATAGAACTTGATGTCTGAATATGAGTAATGACTGAATCTGTACCTCTGCGCTCATTTAAATCAAGACCTTAAAAGGAAGAAAGGAAATCTTGGAGTCTTCAAAAATAAATGCTCGTCCTTGTCAGAGTGTTCTAGGCATATTCCTTCCACAAGCCAACCAATTTTCAGTCCTGGTGACTATGTTCATCTCTAAGCCAATTCAAGCCAATTTAAAAAATAATATTTTATGGGATATTTATCACAAATTTCACCAAAGGCCAATTACAAAACACCTATTTCATTTCCTTCAGCCACTGATTTTCTAATTTGTTCTCAAAAATCTATGACTTCAGTCTAACATGATGTTCTCTTTATAAGCCCATCTTATCTTTCATTTTGCTTATGATTCCATTGTGTTCTAACTGTTTAAAGACTTTTCATCTTGTTATATTTGCTGCTAAGGTAGAGTTTCTGAGTTATAATAGCTGGCTCAGCTATTCTACAGAGGTGGAATGATAGCACATCTGTTTTCCTCTAATCTTGTGGCACATGTCTCAAGTGCTTTGTTTAAAGACAATTATAAGCAATTCAATAGGTGCTTGCTAATTTTCTTATTATGTTAGGATGCATATCAGCCAGACCAAATGTTTATGTTCAGATTTACTCTAAGTACTCACCACCTGCATTTTGCCAATACTTCTTCTGCAACATCTCCATTATTCTTACTGCATAAGTTTGTTTTTCTAATTTGACTTGGTAAGCAGGAATTGATAAATAACTACAATCATTTAGCTAAGTTTAGAGTCATGATAATTTAGTACTCTATCTTTTTATTAGCAGACCTGTCTTCTGTAGAGTTTATATTTCTCCCCTGGTATAGCTGTTTAATGTTCTTTTCTCTCCATTTCCTTTTCTTTGCCTCTTAGCATTAATTTTATTCTGGATTTTCATGCACAAGATCAATTCTGGCTATACTCCTTTACAGAGCAGGTATTTTTCCTCTTTCTTTTGCTAACCTCTCTGAGGAACCATAAAGCAAATTATAGACATTAATTTTTATGACTTGGAGACCAAAGTTAAAGAAAACTGTCAACAAGAATTACACAAATGACTATAATCATTTGCCTTGATAAGAATTTAAGCTTTTAAATTCTGGCACTTTTTAAATCCTCTCTGCAAGTATGTAAAATCTTCACTTGGCACAAAATTGGCATTGTAGAAAATCATGATGGCATTCAATAATTTAAGTAAGGAAAGGGAGAGAAAAATGACAGAAAAAAATGAATCCACACATAGATATCATGGCTGACACATTTAGACCCCACAATCCAAAATTTAGAAACTATGCTGTATCATGAGGGCCTTGAAAACTGGCCTATGATAGGAGTAGTAATTAAGACAGTCTCAGTGTATTGAACCTTTCTTTGAAAAATAACATCAGCAGTTGCACATAGGACCTCCCATGCTTTTCAAAGTAAGATTGATAAAGATGCATGATTACCCAAGGGGAGAACACATGCCACCAAGGAGGGAGGATTGTCCAGTGTCTGTCATCTGGGTAGAGAATGGCTGAGACTGTGGTGTTGGCCACCTTCTGACAGCAGTGGATTTCTGGCTGTGAATATGGCTGTCTGGTTAGAGACCTGCAAGCAGCCTGTTCTGGATGTTCATAGGGTACAAAGGTAGGCCCAGGTGCCTTCAACGCCTACTGGAAAAGTTCATGGTTCACTGGAAGCACACAGAACCACTGGACATATTGAAATGGAGTATCATATAATCAGAGATGGGAATTCTGTCGAATTCCTTTCTTTGTTCTTAGTAGCGTGTGTTTGGAGCACATGATGATTACATTCCTCATGCAGAGTTGGTACATGTACATAACACGTCTTCAATCTCTTTGCTTCCTCTTTCCTTTCCCCGCCCTCCTGTTGCTAACTTACTCAGGCTGGGCTCAAACTCGTGTCCTAGTGTGGTTGTAGAATTCCCAAGAAACTGGAGGGACCTGGAGGGATTACAGGAGGACTTTATTAGTGCATGACCCAGCCACTAGAAATGCTCAAAACCAGGCTGGACCCTGAACCAGGACCCTCTTTTGGGTTGTGGGAGTGCCATAGCAACCTGTTTTCCTTATCTGCCTGCTTTTCAGTTTCCTTTGACCTCTATTGTACCAGTGTTGGTATCCCCTGAAGTGTATAACAGCCACTTTCCTTGGTGTCCATATGGCATCTAGGAACTGAAAAATTTCTGCTTTGTGTTTTATCTTCTTTCCCCCAGTGGTCAGGAGCCCTCTCTCCCTGTGTGTAGCTCCATGAACAAGTAGCATGGCAATGGCATACTTGGAATCAGTTTAGATGTTAGCCTTTTTATCCTTGGCTGGTAACAGTGCCCTTGTCACTATTAGTTCAACCCTCTGAGCAGAGGTTCTGGTAAGCAAAAGCTTGGCCTCTACCAAAAAGTCCAACATCACCACTGCATAACCTGCTCATTGGATCCTGTCCAATACAAAACTACTCCCATCTGTGAAATATTCAACATCTGGGTCTTCCAGAGGGAGATCTGAGAGATCACCATGGATTGAGAATACCTTGTCCACAGTTTCCACACAGTCATGAAGAGGGCTCCTGCTTCAACTGAGAGCAAAGTGGCTGGATTAAGAGGGTCTGCTCTCTCTAGAGTTCTGTGAGGATTTTCACATAAAAGCTCCTGACCCCATGTCATCCCCAGGTTGGATAGCCAATGGTACCTGCTCTGGTCCATTAACATTATAACTGAATGTGGTAGTCAAATTGTCAGGTGTTGCTTCAGTGTCAGCTTGTCAGCTTCCTGCATCAGTGAGGCAGGGGCAGCAAGTGCCTTGAAGCACGGTGGTCATCCTAGGGCCACAGAGCCCAAATGCTTTGGCAAGTACGCCACCAGACAATGGCAGGATTCCCAAACCTGGGTTGACTCCTACGGCCGTTTCCTTTTGTTTATGGACATATAGAAGAAAGGCTTAGTTATGTCTGGCAGTTCTAAGGTTGGGACCTGAGTCAAGGCCTCTTTGATATGTTTAAATGTCCTCTTCTGCTCAGCTTCCTAGAGGAAGCACTGATTTCTCCCCCTTCATAGCTTTGTAAAGGGGCTTGGACAATAAGGAGCAATTTGAGATCCAGATATGACAAAAACCCACTGCCCCCAGAAATTCTCTTACTTGGCATTGGGTAGCTGGGATTAGGAGAGCATAGAGTTTGTTTCTGTCCTATGCCCAGCTGATGTTCCCCTGTATCACTACAAAGCCTAGATATCTGACCTCTTGTCAACAAATTTGTGTCTTTTTCTTGGATACCTTGTATCCTTCTCTCCAGAGGAATGCAGCTCTTCATTTTCTCTGATAACAGTCTTCTTGGGTTATGGCTGCAAAAAGGAGGTCATCTACATATGGTAGCAAGGTGTAATTGTCCCTTGGTGTGAGGAAAGCTTTAAGATCAGTAGCTGAAGCCTCTTCAAAGATTGTAGAGGAGTTTTTGAACCCTTGCGGAAGCCTTGTCCAAATTAGCTGTTTCTTTATGCCTGTGACAGGATCCTCTGATTGAAAGCAAAGATGGGCCGACTAAGTGATGCAAGGTGCAGACAAAAGAAAAAGCATTCTTTAAGTCTAAGCAGGTAAACCCGACAGCACTTGCCGGAATGAGGCCCATCAGCAGGTATGGGTTTGGGCACTGTTGGGTGAATAGCTTCAGCTGCCTGCTTTATAGTGTGCAGATCCTCTACTGGCTTATATTTTTTTGTTCCCAGGGTTATATGTTTGCAAAAGTGGGGTTCCCAGGAGAACTGACATCTAGTGAAGATTCCATGATCTAAGAGCCATTTGAATTGTTCTTGAACGCTTTGTATGGCCTTCTAGGGAAAAGCATATTGGCAAACTCTAATTGGAGTCACCCCTGGCTCTAATTCCACTATCACTGGTAGCTGATTTATAGCCAGCCCTAGGGAGTTATCTTCATCCCATAGCCTAGGAATCATATGCACCAGCCAAAACAGTGCACCTATTTCTGGTTTTGCGACTTGTCTGAAAATGATCTCCATTCTGCTTGTAGGAGATAAGGGTTAACACCACAGCTTTTATTTGGGCCAGGTTTAGAGCTACATCTTCTTGCAGCCCAAAGATAATTTGGGCGTGTAGCTCTTGGAGCGAGTCTCTCCCTCACAAGGGAAGTGGACAGTTTGAGAGATATAGGAGCTCATGTTGGACTTCTCACTCCCCGTGACACATCTTTTGGGCTGACAACATGGCCTCTTTTTGGGACTCTGGTGGCTCCCACAATGTCACATTTTTCTTAGAGAGTGGCTGAATGGGTTGTGTTACTATTGAGGATTTACTGCTGCCCACTATAAATCCATCAGTTGCCCCCTATTTTCACTGTGACCATGAGATCCTTGGGGCCTATGAAGACGGAGCCCAGTGTGGCCTAATAGCTTTCACTTCCTGCCAGTCCAATCAGATCTGTTTCCTCTTCTCCCTGTGAATAGCTGCTGGTGATGAGGTCTCTGGCTTTATAGTCTCCATTATTCTTTTTGTCTGTTCTGGGCATTCATCCTTCTAACGTCCTATTACTTTGCACTGTACACACTGATTTCAGGCTAGTGTTTGTCAGTTTCTGGGTCCCTGTCCAGTTAGACCTTTTCCCTGCTCTCTCCCTTGCTCCCACCCCTTGGGGACCTCTGTCTTTTACCTCATTAGTGCTGCTGCTAGTAGATCTACTTTTCTTTTAAGCTTTCAGTTGGCCTTCTGCTTGGCTTCTTGATCACAGTTAATATATAATTTAGTGGCTACTTCGAAGAGCTGAGATTCACACATGCCAACAAAGCCTCTAGATTCTGTAATTTCCACCGGATGTTCTCCTGGGCTTGTCCTACAAAGCTGCATTTACCATGCATTGATTTTGGGCTGCTTCCAGGTTAAACAGAGTATAGAGCCAAAATGCCTTGCCAAGTCTCTCACAGGATTGACTGGGGCTTTCACCTAGTTTTTGGAACATCTCTGACAGTTTTTCCATATTTATGGCTTTCTTGCTTTCTACTTTCAAGCCTTCCAGCAGGGCTTCTTGATATTTTATTGGGCTATCCATCCCTGCTACAACATTTGGCTCCCACTTTGGTTCAGTCTCAAGGAACTGGAATTGAGCACATGCTTGGACATTCATCACTTTTGCAGGAGCATGGTCCTCTAACGAGTGGAGAGCTGCCTGAGTCACTCTGTGGTGATCTTCAGTATTGAGTAGTGTCAGGAGAAACTGTTTACAATCTGTCCAATTTAAATTGTGTGTTTGGAAGATGGATTGCATTAGGTCTATGACTGTCTCTGTCTTCCACATATGAGGGGGTCTGATGCTTCCACTTGAGAAGGTGAGTGGTTGAAAAAGGCTGATGAATCAAGTCTGTTTGTCCCTCTTGGATTTGACCCTCTGCATCATAATAAATAGGCGCTCTGGTCTCTCACATGGGGATCTTGTGGGGCCCTTGTATGACCTGATCAAAGATGACTGGCTTTATCTGCCACCTATTTATTAGGGCTTTCTTCATTGTCCCTCCTGGATGGGGTATGTTTCCTTTACTGGGAGGGGGACACCAGAGACTTGCTGCTTTCTTACCCCAATTCCCCATATATAGGCCTTGGTAGAGGCAGATAGATTGGAGTGTAAGGGGGAGTTATTCCCATTTCCTCTGTGGTTCCTATAGCATTGGTTTTTCTTGAGTCCTCTGTTGTTTGCTTTAACCCTTGTAGCTACTGGAAGAGTGGGTTCCCTTTTGTCTCTTATATTGGGCACAGCTTGAGTCACAAGAATTTTGCAATATGCTGCCAGACAGGGCTGAAGCCATGCAGGCTGAATTTGAACCACATTCAGCCATGAATCAATGTAGGGAAATTATTCTGAATGTCCTGGTGGCTGTTCTCCATCTCCAGTCACCACTTGATATACCCTTCCAATCATCCTTCTATCTATTTTCCCCTCAGCAAGCCACCCCACATTAAAGATGCCCAATCAATTTCTTAAAGAGTGCTCAACCTCTGGGGGGTTAACTTTACTCCATATTCCACAATATAACTGTTATGGTTTGTGTCTGCATGTACCCTCAGATCCTCATGCAGTCATGGCGCAGGCTTCTAGATTTTTTTTGATCCATGGTTCAATGCTGGGATTATGGATGTGAGTACTATACCTACCCTGGGGTGGGTAGTTTGCATATGTAAGGAAGGGAAAGAGGCTTGCTCTTCCTGCCACTCCGCCTCCCTTTTGCTCTGGTTGTTGTTTTGCTATTTTCTGCCACCATAAACTGTTGTTCTCTGCCATGTGCCACCCTGCCTTGGAGCCAGCTGAGTATGGACTGAAACCTCCACAGACTGTGATCTAAATAAGCCTTTCCTTCCTTCATTTTGGGCATCAGATAATTTGTCTCAGCAACAAGAGAAAAGTAACCAATACAATAACCTTTCTTAAAGTTCTTTAGCATACATTCTAATGAGGTAGGATTGCATACCTCTTTTCCTATTATCACCTATGCATAATCCAATTTACTCCTACAATTAATATAAACCTCTTACAACAAACTTCGCTGCAGCTGCTTGAATTTTAAAATGTCCCCCCAACCCGTTTTTTTTTTCTGAGATTGTTACCTTGTGAATTTTACTAACGTGGAATCCAGTGTTCTTATCTTAAACCAACAGAGAGCAGAGAAAACAGCAAATTAACTCTGTAATTGCAATTCAAGAATTTGCAGCACACAGGAAATGCTTTAAAACACTCCAGTTAATCAGTTCAAGTTGAAAAACAAAAGCATATTTACCAATTAGTTAATACTTGCAATTTGATTTTCCTTGTAGAACCTCTATGGTCTCCAGGTATTTTGGCTGTTCAGACCCAGGCTGGAGCTGTCCTTTGTCTTGTCTTGTTTTGTGCTTGCTTTAAAATGAAAAGATGCTGCATTCCTCCAATCTTGCAGGCAGAGCTTGGCCTAAGTCTCTGAGCCTTGTGCTTAAGTTCCAGCTCAGCAGCTGGACCAGTCAGCTGCTAGGTGTCTTTAAGTCTCAGTCCCTTAGCTGAACTCAGTTGACCTCAGACTCACACAATTCACTTTGCTCACTCACATAATCATACACTTTATTCCAGACACACACACACACACACACACACACCCCTCCTCTTTCCCAGTTGTTTTCATTCAGGTGCCAGATTCCTAAGCTTTTCCCAGCATGGGCCACTTCTGCAATTCCAATGCTTTCTGCTAGCTGCAGCTGCTCCCACCTTGATAGTCTTCCTCCTCACTGTCCGCCTAGCCACTCTCATGTTTCCTACTTGGGATGTAGGCTTTTCTAGACTTGTACCAAGTCTGACTACTCAGTACACCTCTTTGCAAGCTTTCCTTACGTTCCTGTCCTGTGAGTTGTTAGAGAGCTGCTCACCATGGGCCACTCCCACATTCTACTTAAGGTTGTTGGTTTCATCTGACTTAGACTGGATAAAACTGACTGACCGTGAACCTCTCTCAAGGCATTCCACTCCCACTTCCCCAGCACTCCTACAAGTCAATTTTTGTTGCAGCTCACTCCTGCTTGAGAATGCTGGTGCAGTGTGATTCCAGTGTGGGTCAGATTACAAGGTACTCCCTGAGAGCTGATAAAGCTCTTCTTCAGTCTAACAGGATAATTTTTTCCCCTTTGGGCTCCTTTACCTTACCAGCGTTCTGCAGTGCACTGTTCCTGAGTCATACTGTCCCTCTTCAGGTTCTCTTTGTGCTGGCAGGGAGGAGAAGCTCCTAGGCTGTGAGAGAGCTGGTTCTTTCTCCAAGGTAAGCTTTACTCAGTGGCACACTGGAGGCAGGTCTTCTCCAGCTTGTGAGTCTGAGCCCTGCAGGAAAAAGGAGACAGCAAGCCTGTGGTCTCCAGTCCTTTTGTGCTCACCAGAAAATATTTGGGGATTTCCATAAAACTGCAGAGGTCAGGGATTATGGAACTTTATCAGTGCATGATACAGCCACTAGAAATGCTCAAAACCAAGCTAGGTCCAGAACAAAGGAGGGGTCCCTTTTATACAATTTGTGCAAATGAGCAAGTAGAAATACAGAAATGAAACAAAGGCAGTCAGTCGTCCTAGCAGCTAACTCTATCTTAGCCTTGGGAGAAAACAAATTCTGTGCATCTCAGGATGTTATCATGCTGGGAAACTAGTTTATAACCCCATTTGTTAGTTTTGTCAGTGACGATACCCAGTATTGCCCTTCTAAGAGAGGAGATGCCCATGAGAGAACTACTTGATGTGTCTGCCTCACCGGTGAGAAAAGTACAGGACTGTGATGAGAAAGTGCAAGTCCTCATTCCCTAAGAGGGAATAGCTGCCTGAGGAGTTGCTTGCTTGGGGCTGGGAAGATTTTGCAGAGGGAGAGAGAAGATAGGTTTCTCTCTGAGGTCTGCTTAATTGGGCTCAAATTTGTGTCCTAGCGCCACAGTCTCTCTGAGAGCTGAAATTGCAGAAATGTAATATCAGGCTAAAACTGTACTTTTGTATACATTTATTTGGTACTAATTTTAGTTTTGTGAATAATAAATAAGAATTACTTTTAATTGATTGAATCACCCTTCTGAAGTTATTAGAGACTAAGAATTTTTTTCTAAGTTATTAGAAAAAATACTTACTCTTCAACATTCACAAATGTAAGTAATTTGCAAAAGAACTTACACCTCTCCATCTGACTTAAGGCAAACATATTCTGAGATAAGTGGATCATGGACACATGTAACTCAGAGTAGGAATGTCTGGGTGGAAGCAAAACTTCCAGGAAGTATGTCAGACTTCCCAGACAGAGGAATTGGTGGGGCCTGTCACTGGTTTCAAGGATAAAGGGGGCACAGGTAAAACCTGAGTATCATAGAGACTAAAGAGAACAGTTCCCTGGGGATGAACACATGTTATGAAAAAGACTGGAGCTGGGAAATGGAACAGAGGAGTTAGAAAAGGGGTCTGCTGTGCTGGTGGGTGAGGGAGGGACAGTGAGCATGCTCTCACAGGTGTCCCATCCCCACCCTCAGGGCTTCTGTGACTCTCACGTTCTATGATGCAGGCAGAGCTACATCCTACAGCTCCTGAAACTCAGAGCTCAGTTGCCTCAGACAACCTTGCTGTAAGCTTCATGGAGAATGTTCTCCCTTTCCTGAGAAGTCATACTAAGTCATGGCTGAGCTCTGGCTCCACATTCTTGGATATAGATTCCAAATGCACCTTCCTGAGTGCGGTGGGATTGCTCCTTCTTTTATTTTGTTTTCTGTTGCTGAAATCATTTTTATCAGCCCTCTGGAGAAATAGAGAACTCTCAAAGGTATGGAAATGTGGGTGAATCCCCAAGAGGAATTCTTTGTTATTGTTTCCCATTTCAGTGACTCCTGCAATGAGAAGTTTGAGGAGAAGGCAAATCATCCTTCTTTAGGGGAAGAGGCCAGGCAGGAGGAGGGGATCAAGAGGACTGATGCTTCCATCTGAAGTTCCAACTCTACTTTTCTGTGTGACAGAGGGCTCCAGGGTTAGATCCCAAAAGAGATCCTGGCCCTGATCTGCTCAATTACAAGTTGTGTGTTCTCTCAGAATGGCTCTACTGACACTTGGACTTGACTCTTGTTCATACTACAGGATTCCTTCTCTAAGCCTTCTCCCTGCTGGGCTGACTGGGACAGCCTTGAGCGGGGCTTGCAGTCCATGTGCTGTCCCCAGGATTCAGGTTGTGTGAGACAGCACATGTGTGACTGTCGGTCTCAGATTCTGTGCACACCCTGAGCACAGGAATTTTGAGTATGAAAAGTCAGTGTGAATCTCACACACAAAATTTTCCTTTGAGATTTTCAAAGGTGGGGGAATTGAAGCTACATGGTCATCTTTCAAAATTGGTGAAAGGAACAATTTCTATTAATTAATTAAAAGGAGGATCATATAATTCTTAGATAATTAATGTCTGAAATTGTGAGAAAGGAAAATGACTCCCAGGCTTTCCATGTGTTCTTGTTGTTCTCAGAATCGTAATGGGAACAAGCAGACGAGGAGAGATGGAAGAGAAAAAGGTACATTTACTTCCACTGGACCTCAGCTCTCTAAAGGCAATCCCTCTTGTCCCTTTCATGAGGTGCTAGGTCCATGAACTCTGAGCATGCTAGGTGTTAGACACAGTCTCTCAGAAGGGGGTTCACAAGAAGGCAGTCAGACCTGAGATTTCCTTCAGAGCTGCTGCTCTTCCCATGGTGGTCATGAAATAGTGATTGAGTTGAGGGGTAGGCAGTGCCCAAAGTGGGGCCATGTGAAATGTCCAGAGAGGAGTCTTGGTTGCTTTGAAGTCAGATCTTTTATCTCCCCAACTTTGTGAAAAATACTTTCTAGATGGGTGCTCAACTTTATCAGCCAGGTAACCTCTGACTTCTGGGCTAAAACTGTGGCTTTTAACATTAGATATGACGATGTATGTGAAGGTAATTTGTAAATGAAGTCTCACACACACACACACACACACACACACACACACATACACATGGGAATGTTCTTATAACATCTGTCCTCACTTTATCTTGCCTGCTGATTCTTAGGATTTTGAAATTTGAATATCCTAAGTGTTTCCACAAAGGGACTCCTCATATGACCACTGTATTTCTACTTCCATGACATTTCACTCACTGTCCTGATTTCCCAGGTTGGAGGACGAGCCAACAAGAAGCAGAGAGGAAGAAATTGTTTTCGACTCTGAAAAGGTGATTAGTCACTTTCCTTCTTCCCTGGTCTCTTTTCCTGAATGTTGTACGCACCCCAGCAATCCGGTGCAGCCTGCATGTGTAAAAGCTAGGGGTAGCCGTAGCAACAGGCATGTCAATGGGGACCTCGGTGAGCAACAAAGTGTTTTGTGAAGTCACAGCTGTGAGGCAGTGTGAAGGGCATAGGAAGCATGAGGCAGCCCAGCCCCACCTAGGACAGTGTGTCCTCCTTTTCTGGTATATGTCCTGGCTACAACTTTGTATTTTCTGTGTCCTTCAGCCACCGTGACACCACACGCTGTGGACAACTGCTGTATCCAGACTCACTCTGTGAGGTGTGTCACACCACAGCTTCTGAGGCCAGTCATCTGTTCTCTCAGGTACTCCTCAGAGATGCCACTCCAAGTCTCCTTTGTCATCTATCCATGCTGTGACAGTGTCACCATTCACTCAGATCTCTGTCACCTCAGCAGTGCCTCCATGACCCGCGATTCCAGCCTCTTGGACTGATTCTTCTCTACCTTTGTCCTCTATTCTCCCCTCTAACCAGGTCACCTCTCTAGCAGACTCCCTGTCACCCTCAGCGCTGGCCGGACCTGTGCCAAGGGAGCCTAGTCCTCCCTCAGAGCCCAAATTTCCAACGGACTGCTGCCCACTGGAACCGATTCTCTCTCCCCTTCTGCCAGCACATCACACGCAGGAAGCAGAACTTGTTCTCCAGCCAGAAGCTGCTCAGTCTCTTTTTGATAGCCTTGGTGACTTTTTCACTCATGACCTAAATTCTGCTGAAGCCTCCTTTGGGGAACCCCACCATAGAAAACCTAGAAACCTTAGGTTTCTCAGCCCTGACACTCAGGCCCTCCTGAAGAGAGAACAGAAAAAGACAAATGACTTGATGGCTTTCCTAACAAGAAAGCTTTTGTCTTCCCAGACTAGAGTTTAATCGCAAACCAGACCCAATAAGCTGCACACACCCGCACACGGACACATGTATTTCTTACGAGGATTGGGGTGCATGCAATGAGTAAGAAGTTTTGGGAGGGCTGTTGTCTTTACACTTTTTCCTGGAGTTTGAAGTTCACAGGATATATATCTGTCAAGGGAAGACATATATAAAATTGAAGAGAGAATTTCAAGCTGTAACCCACAAGCATGAGCAGGAGCTCAGGAGAGTAACTGAAACCAGTGTCATCTCTTACGGGCGCTGACCTTGGTGCTGAGAGCACTCTGAAGATCTCAAAACCCGAGACCCTTTCTTCCGGGGTTACACACACATCTGGAGCAAAAGTTGTGGAGCTTGAAATAAAGAGATGGATATTGTTGCTGTTGTTTGTTGAATTCATTCAAGTCTTGTGACTGCTTCTTTCCCTTCTGCCCCTCACCCGAGCGGGCTGATGGGAAAGCTTGGAAGCTGAGCATGGTGGCTCACACTGGGAAGCTGAGGCAGGAGCATCTCAATTTCATACCCAGTCTGGGTGTCAGTCACCTTCCTCATTGCTGGGATGAAATATTGGTTACCTGAAGAAGGAGGAGTGGTTCATTTTGGTTCATGTTTCAGTCCATGGTCAGCTGGCTCCAGGGCAGAACAACATGTTAGAGGGGCATGGTGGAGGAAAGTGCTGACCTCATTGCACTTGGGGAGCAGAGAAGGGAGGAGCAAGGGAGGGAGATATGTCCCCAGTACCCAGCCTCCTCACTGTACATTCAGCTCTCAACTCACCAGTGGACTAAGCCCTGGGTAAGTACAGCTCCCTAGGGTTCAATCATCTTCTAAAAGCCCTGCCTATGATTGTGCAAGGCTTTGGGAAACATCTAGATGAGAACCATCACACCAGGCAAGTCAGCAATTTAGTGAGACTGTGTTTCAAATAAAAAATATAAAGGGGCTGGAAATGTAGCTCAGTGCAAAGGTCTGGGTTTTGATATCCAGTAGAAGAGAACAAAACAAAACAAAAAGAGAAAAAGAAGCAAGCAAGCAAGCAAGTCTGGATGCTCCCTCCTCTGATTCTAGAAGAAATTAAGAATAATGGAACCCTCAGCTAACCCCTACCCTTTTAATGGTGCCAGCCACACTCTGTCCTGCTTTTCGTGCTGTCTCCCAATATGCTTGGGAGCCTACCTTGCTCTCACCAGAAAGCTTAATTATATCAGTAATTTATTTTCTTTTCTTTTAGCACATGTGCAGCGTCACAAGTCTTAATACTTGAATGAAATGTTATGTGTGTGTGGTCATCCCATCCGTATGATGCTATGATTACAGGGTTGAAGGATCCCGGAACTATTCCCAGCCACTGTCTCATGTCAAGAACATGAGTTTCAGATGAGCAACAGCATGTGTGTGCTACCGTGTGGCTGATGGTTCACTTCTTTTCTCCAAATCTCGAAAAATTTTCCCTTGTGACCTTATTCTCACCTGAAATCTGTAAGAAAGGAAAACTTGGGAAATGTAATTCAACCAAGCCAAGCCAAGCCAAATTCACATATAGTTAGGCCATTATAGCTCACCTGTGATTGTGTCCTTGATATTCACAATCATTTGATAAGGGACATAACCCAATTCATGACTTACAGTGTTCAGCAACACCTATTTTTCTCTCCTTACATTGGATATTACTAAAGCACTTAGCACATCACCTTGTGCATAGTCTACTTAAGCTAGCTACTATTCTATCATAGGACATGAAGATTTCATTATCACTTTGTAGGACTGATCTTCTCTTATAATCACTGAGATCCTCTTGACTTTTTTTTTTTGCCTTGACATATTTTGAGAGCTTAGAGGTATGGATAGAATTTGCACCCACAACAAATCTAGTTTACTGGTACTGCATGGTGCTGCTATTAAGAAAGGGGGATTTGGAAATCCTAACAAGAGCAGAGGTCCAGTTCAAAAAGCCCAAGGTCCGGGCATCCACCTGCATTTTAATCATGTTTTCATTAGAGACATAAATACAGGAGTTTCTCTCACTCACCCTTTGAAACTCATCACTTAAATCCTCTCACTTATCCCTCTTTAACCCTGTTTTTATTTCTCCTTCTCACACTCTAGTCTGGTTTTCTGGTGACAATGTATTATATTGAGTTTATTTCAAAGGATGCAGCTCTTTTCATTTTCTCCAGTGTATTTTAAGAGTAAAACTAAAACCCTAGAAAAGGCAAATGAAGTGTAGCAAATATATTGAAATACTGTCAGGAAAATATTTTTGTTTTATTGTTTTACATAAGAGGTATGTTGAACAATGTAGAAACACATTTATTTGCAAGGAGCTCTCTGTGATGCTAGTTGGACCCAAGAAAAACAGAATCAGACAGAGATCAAGATAGAAGGTATTTATTAGAGGGTGTTCTTGAGTTTACCTTTTGGAAAAGAAGAAGAGAAGCAGACTGGGCTGAGGGAGAAGTTGGGCTGTGATGTAGTTTCAGTGGAAGATACTGCCACCCCGCAAGGAGTTCAGAACCTAGCGCGATGAATCACACATGTACTTGTGGGGTGAGAAGGCTAGTCCTCTATGGGCTCATGATAGTCAGTCACTGGACATGGACCATTCCAGGACTAGGACTGAGGCAACCTGGGCTAGTGGCTCTCTTAAGCTATGGCCATCTCTGGAGGGGCCTGACCACTGAGAACTCCTTGCCAACTTTACTCTCAGTGCCTGAGGGACTAAGATCTTTGCTCCTGTTAAGGAATCTCATTGTCGAACGCTGGGTCCTACACATTTAGAAAGGAGAACTGAGGGAACGATCATTTTCTAGCATTGCCTTAGGCTACTGTGTTATAAAATGTTCTCTACAAATCAACTCCTAGTACCTATACCGTTAAAGGTTAAGAGAATAAAACCATAAAAATGTACCTTTTATACTTTCTCATGAGCCTTATGGTCAACTTTACATTTCTCCTACAATATGTTTACCTCGTAATTCTTTACATCATAGTCTCAAAGCCATGTCAGTGGGTTACCTAGAGAATTGTTGGGTGTGAGCATGACTTCTCTAGACTCAGCTCAGGGAATATCATCTCTTTCTGCATCTTTCCAGCCACACTTCTCAAATTGATCAGGTTCAGAAGACCTAAGATGTCCAGAGTCCAACAATTCTCTAAAATAGTGGGGATAAAATAACTACCATAGCCTTCCTTCTGCCCACCTGCCTTGAACTTCTGCTCTCTTCTCTGTGCTGTGCAATGCTGTTTCCACAGACTGCACTTCTCTGCCTTCCTTTAGGGCTGAGTCACTGGGCTCAGCCAATGGAAAGCAAAGAGACAGAAAGGAGCATGTGGAAGGTGAAAATGGTTGGGGAGTTTCTTCCTTCACACCTGCACATATCAGTGCCACATTGTTGGCTGTAGTGGGGTCCTTTTGTCATTGGAGGCAGTTCCTGCTGTAGGTTCCCACTTTCACTGGGCTGACCTAAGGTGGGAAGCACTATAGCACGTGGTCAAAGTGGAAAAGTTTTTCCTAAATTCTTTTAAACTCTCAATGGCTTCATTTGCATGCAGTTTCCTGGCAATCTGTCACTGGAAACCCAGTTAATTAGATGTGGATGTCAGGAAGGATCAAACTAACAACTGTGCATTTTTACATTATACTACATACTCATCTTTCTTAATTGCTATCTGTTGTTCAAAGGTAATAGCAATAAACTCAGATGCAGTGTGGAAGGATGGCTGTGGATCCTGAGGCAACAGTTTATCATCATTAGCGGAGGTGATAAGGCAGGTACCAAGAAAACTTGGAAGGTCTCCCGCAAAATTAGCGAGGATGCCTGCCAAGCGCAGGCTCTTTGACTTCCTCACATCTTTCTTTCAGCTGCCTGTGGCCAATTCTCTCCTGGTCTGTGCGAGGAATACACCCTCCCTCCTCCCAACTTTCTTCACCACTGTGTTTCTCATCACAACAGCTGTTATTATTTAGGAACAGGGCGAGTTATTAGGAAGACATGATGTTCATGACTGTGTTCTCCCTTCCTAACCTGTAACAGTGCTATATCTCCAAAGTTCCAAATTCTTTTGAGCTGAAAGAACTAGAACTTTGAAGCTTTGTATCCACCCAAGACTAACTGTGAGTTCCTCAGTAGAAAAGGGGACTGGAGAGGCCATTGACAGGATGGACACAGAGTGACCACTGGGTCTGAGCCCATGACCAAGGTGACACCCAGCAGGCTCTGTGCACAGGAGGGGAAGCTGATGAGTCTGTCTCAGTGGGTAACTCCTGAGTGCTGCATCCCCAGCTGGTCCGGGTAGCTGTGTTTAAATGCCTAAAGTAGGAAAATACTAAGTAGCCCAAAGGGCAAAGTTATAGATCGTGACAACCCCCGAGACCTGGATCCTTTTCTAATACTTCTACCACAAATGACTAGGATTCCTCTGTCATTCCATGGAGGAGGTAAATGGAAGCCAGATATTTACTGAAATTGAATTTCTCTCCAACCAGGTGGTTGGAGATAGAAAGCAGATATAATTTGATTTAGAAAAAGAAAAGCAGGTGTGCTGGATATTCTACATGCTCCTCTATCAACTTACTCTCCACTCTCTTAGGCTTGTTCTGTGACTCGCATGGCTTCCTTCAACTGGCTGTCTTGCCCTCTGCTTTAATTGGGCTCACCCAATGTCAGGTGTAGGATGAGTGAAATGAGGTCCCCAGGCAACCATGAGGGCCATATGCACCATATTCCCCAGGAGGGGACAAGCTAGAGAAGAGTGAGGCTGAGGTTAGCACTGGTCACTTCCTCCCTGCATGGCCTCGAGGGCTGGTTGCATTGCTTCACGGAAGCAATGGTCTGAATCAGCTCACCTCTCCATGCAGTCTGGAAGATTCCACTATTTCCTGTCACTATCCTGGAGTATTACACTGTTCCTTTCATAGCACCCTGTCCTTCTCACACTTTTGTGAATAGTCCCTTTAAAAGCCCTCCATTACCTGTTTGAACACAGCTTTTTCTTTTTCTTTTATTTTAAAAATTAAAAACTGACAAAACAACAATGAAGACAAAATCAAAACAACGCAAAAACAACAAAAATGATACATGACCTCAAGACAAAATGATAGAAATTTACAATGGTTGCTATATTACATACTGTTTTCTTCAGTGAAGTTGCTCAGTCCATTAGACATAAGAATGTAAGATTGATCAAACAATCAAAGATAGTAACAAGTAAAAAAAATAAAAATAATTTTTAAAAAACATTGGAAATGATGTAGAACTTCACTGTACAAGACAGTAGGAGTTCAACAATGGTTCTTACACTACATATTGTTTTTAGATCAGTCATCCTAACCACCAAATTCAAGCATGTAAAATTGGTTAAGAAAAAGAAAATTTTAA